GACGAAGAGAGAGAGAGAGAGAGAGAGAGAGAGAGAGAGAGAGAGAGAGGAAGAGGGAGAGAGGGAGAGCAAGTTTAAAATATTTCGAATATTCGATCCGAGAAGAAGAGGGAAAAAAGGAGGGAAAAAGAAAATGAAAATTGAAGAACAACGCGAAGAATTTAATTAATGGAATATCTCTTACTCGAGTACGCGTAAATGCCGATCCGATATTTGGTTGAAAGTTAAAATGTTTCGAATAAAGGCAAAACTTGTAAGCCGGAATTTCTACTTTGACGAGTTGCATTCGAACTTGAATACACCCCTCCTCCCCTCCCTACGCCAACGTCAACCCACTTGTGATTTATATCTCGTCTCGTTTCTATTGCCCGCGTTTCTTCGTATCATCGTCCTATCCGTTAAAACTATTTTCCCCGGATGTGTTCTATATTTCTGGACAGACGCGGGCAAATATCTTTCTCTCTTCGAGAATTAATTTATTCTTATTTCGAATAATAAACATTCTAATTCGATCGAGTACACTCGTCGGGTGTACTCGCGTGTTATAACAGGTGTAATTTTAATTTGTTTTTCTTTTTTTTTTTTTTTCAATTTAAATCCTTTCTCTGCTCGGAAAAAAACAAGAGAATTCATCTCCTCGCCTCGTATCACGTAGCGAGCCCCCCTTACGTGGGATCACGCGCCGGTTTTAACATTTCCTAACGTTTTAAACTAACGCGCGAATAAAACTATAAATCCTCTCTCCCTCTCTCTCAGAGCACAGGTAAATTATAACACACGCGACAGCTTGTTTAATTTTAATATAGGCACGCGTTTCAACCTTCTCCGCTCCCGCCACTTCACCCAGAGAATTGCGTTGAAGTTAGCGAAATAATTTCAACCGAAGTTAAAAAAAAAAAAAAAAAAAAAAAAAAAAAAAAGAATTAAACCGCCGCGATGAAAATTCCCGTAAAATTCGTCTCGTTTCGATGCTAATTAATGCTCTTTTCTCCCTCCCTCCCCCTCCCCCCCTCCTCCCCTCCCCTCCCGCCTTTCGAATATTATAATTGCGCGATTACACGCGGTGAATCGATGCAATCGATCGCGAAAATATGCGCGCGGACATCGTACGGTGGACAGACGCTTAACTTTGTCCGACCCAACTGTTGATAATCGTCTGAAATTTCAGAAGTGACGTCTTTCTCCTGCTGACATACTTCTGACAGCAGCCAAATGCCAAGCACAAACAGGTGTTTATTAAAATATTTCGAAACGTTTGTTTAACGTTTGTAAAACGATAAAAAAAAAAGTCTCGAGTTAGTTTTAGCTAAAAACCCGAAATTTCTAGAAAGAGATAATTATGCACGCGGTATTAATTCATCGCGTGCAATTTAATACAATAAATATTTATATTTGAAATTTAATGACGAAATTCAGTTTGCGCGTTCGATTTACGTTGAACTTCGATAAATGATTAAATCTCGTAAATTGGTATTTTCGCTTCTCCCTCCCCTCCCCCTGGAAAAATAGAAATGGACACTTTTCCTCGAGAAAAAGAGTGCTTTTTCGCAAGCACTCTACCACTTTCGGATGTTTTTATTTATTTTTCCTTTTTTTCCCCTCCCTAGATTTTTTTTAAGAGGTAAACGAAGCGAATAGACCTCTGTCCTGCACAAAGTCACCAGGCATCGATTTTCAGGTCACTCATCTTGGTAGAAATTATACGGCGAACCGGAAGGAAACGCGATGCGCGTAATGGGGAGGGGGGAAGGAAAAAAAAAGAAAAAAAAGAAGGGAAATAACGCGTGGAAAAATTTTCACGAAAAAAGACGAAACGAAAAAAGGAAGAGAAAAAAAATCCGCACGTTTCATTACCCGCGCTTAAACGGATTCTTGGAAAGTAATTCGAATACCTACTCAACGTTTATTTCGCGAGAGTTTATTAACGCGATCTTGTTTACTCTGTTTATATGGATAGTTTCTGGGAAACGCACGAATACAAAGAGAGGCGAGCTCGTATCTATCATCGCAGGTGTGCATCATGCGATCCAACGTTCCGGAACGAAAAATAAGTTGCAATAAAACAAATGACGAAGCAATGAAGTTCTATTATCATTTTCGAATCACGTGGATGCATTTCGACGCAACTACATGCAGCCAAAGGAACTATTCCTTTGGAGGAAGGATAATTATCCATCGTATCATGGATTAATCAACGCGTAAATCCAAGTGAAGATGAAACGCGAAATAAATAACAATTTCGAGGAAAACTGCCCAGTCATCCAATATGACTCCGCGATATGTTTGACTTTCACGTTAATTTACAATTTGAATGAATTATAGCGGGCACAAATTGATAGAAGGAAGAGAGACGGAGGGAGGGAGAGCGGGTTTGACAGCGAATCGCGTTACAGAATTCGATCGCGTGCACAACGGGTCTCTTAACCTCGGGATCGATATCACTGCCGGTTACTGCGAACTTGCGGATATTCAGATCTTACGGGGCCATAGCTCCCCGTATTATCCCTCGCGAAATTGCAATCAGGCCACTGAGTCCAAGTGCATAACAATTCGCGGAGTAACACGAGTAATTAATGTCTCGTATTAATTGCGAAAGAATGGAAAATTAAAATAAAATTTTTTCTTGTCGCGAGAGAAATTTGAAAACTTTTCCAAGTATATAAATTCGTAACGCGATTGATCGTTTTAAAGACGATCGATCGAATTGAAATAAGGAATTATTTTGAAACTGATCTTTCTAATTCTAAGAAAAATTATTCCATTTGATGAGATCATTGATCCAATCGACGAATAATTGAATTTCAACGAGTCGAGGTATTGATAAGATTAAAAAAATGTTAAATGTTTACACCGACGAACGTTATGATAAATTGAATTTCTTAACTCACTTTACATTCGATAATAAACCAGTGATCAGAGATGAACAAGTCATTGAAGTAATACTGTTCCTGTTGATGAAACACGATGGAAATGGCCAACAACGTATCACGAAGAATAATATCGTGAATAGTAAAATGAAACAGAAATATTTAAATTTAACCCTTTGCACTGCTTTTTCGCTCGGACGAACCAACAACTTCACACGATTTCGCGTTCCCATTTTCGGTTCCCATCTCTCACCTAACCTGAAATGATTTCACACACAAATTAACGTATAAAACTTTTATACTTTGATATTTTTTATCTATCTTTACATACAAACGAAGATAAGGATTATTGAATATTACGTTGTGTGATATTTTAATAATAAAGTAATTACTGAGAAGTATCGTAACCTTGCAATAACATTTTCATCTTTTTTTCTATTATAATCTCAATTTTTATCATTTATTTTCCTTCACTCAGAAATAATTTCATTATTTAATTAAAACTCATCTCATGAACTGTCTATTATTTTTATTTTCCATCTTCTCTTACTGCATCTCAATTTTTATCACTATTATCGCCAATTTCTTAATGAATAGAAATAATTTCGTTATTCCATAACGAAAAATCAAACTCGTCTCTAATTGAACTAATTTCAGAAACTTTGAAAATAATATTTCTATCCACGGATCAAATCTCGGAATAATATATAATTTCACGTAAAAAAGAATCTAACCATTTGATAGTATGTTATTCTACATACTTTACGATCATTTATATTTAAAGGGTTCAAGAATCTATTCACGATATTTTAAAAAAGTCAAGCATAAATAAATATTGTCGCAGTTCGAATTGCTGCACGAATCCAAGCGATGCCTGAGACTCGCCTCTCGAGTTATCGCTTTACTCCGAGTGATAAGTCACTATTGGAGCGCAAAGGATTAATTTTGCTCCATGATAGGCAGCCAATCATGCGAAAACTCCTTTAATTCCCGTTGGGAACAGCAATAATTATCGTTATCTAAAATGAAATAAGCTCGCGTATCGACGTCCAAATAATCCAAATATACACGAATGAATAAATGGGCAGATCACTTGGAAACAACTTTCCAACTAATGGGATTGCCGGTGATAGGCGTAGGTCGGGGATAAACGCTCGAAGGGCGACCGTGTTGCCGCAGTTTCGATGGAAATCTTGATAAATCGTTTTTACAACCCCCCGCTTTTTCCTTTAAATCACTTTTCCCCGGCGAGCGAAACAATACCGTCGAATTTAATGTGTTCGGCGGAGTCTTCGATCCGACCAGACCCATTTAACTCGCGTTGCTCGATCAAAAACGCGCCGAGTAGAACGCCTCGACGAGAGAACGCCTTCGATGAGTTCGTTCAAGGGAAAAATAAAGTCGATTCGGTAATTAACGAAGAGAAGAAAATTTGTTTTCGAGGATAAAAAGGAGCGAGAGAAGAGGCAAATATTTGATAAATTAATTTTGATTTCATTATCGATCGATCCTCGGGATATTCGTGAAAGAAAATTGACAGGTTTTTCAAAGTAATGGAATGATTAACACGGGGGGATAAAATAATTAACATAGAGATTGAGGTATCGTTTAATAATTTATCCGGTTTATTGTCGGTCAAAAACCCACAATTACGGGACTTCGTTATCCGACCAATTGCGCGTTAATATCGCCTTTCTTCCCCCGAATATCCACGAATATATCCCGACATCTTTCTCAACAACAAAGATAATACAATTCACCACCATGGAATATTCCCTCTACGATCTCGATTCCCTTTCGCGCCCGATTCCAGAGTGCGTCCATTTTTTATTTATTTATGTATCTGCTCTTCTCCCATCCCTCTCCCTCCCCCCCCCCCTCTTCGTGCAAATGAGATGAATTCGTAACACGTGACATTTTTACACGGCGGATCGAATATTCTCCGCGTTGCAACGCGCGTGCAATTTTCGAAAAAAAACATCTCTCCAAAAACGGAAACGATCGACAGAAGATCTCTTTTTAATTTAACTTTGCTTCTCGAGAATGGAATGAGATTAACGAAAAAAAAAAAAAAGAAGAGATCTTTTATTCGATCTCGAAGGAGGTTAATGTCACGACCGTGTTACTCCCTCCGTGGTTAATGAAAACAAGGTGGAACAAAGCGGCGCTGTGTTTATACGTGAAAAGAAAAGACGCCGCGATGAGAGGCACGCGAAATCGGGAGGAGGGGGCGGGTTAAAGGCGAGCGAGTTGAAAGGATGAGGAATGGTGGAGGAAGGAAGAGAGACAAGAGGAGACAAGAAAGCGGGAAAAAATGGGGTGCGAGAAGGAAGACGGGACGTTTTCCTCCTCGTCGCCCTCCTCCCTGGAATTCAATCACACCGTGTTTACAGCTCAGTACACTTAATCCTCTTTATTGGATTCAAAGCGTTTGCCGGTGTGTCTCAGAATTTGATCAATTTTATGGGCAAAGGGTCTCGATGATACTTGCGGCCCATCCGTCTATTGACCCTCGATGAAATTATACCGTCATCGCGAGGTGGCCAGTTATTAACTGCGACCCTTGCTTCTTGACCTATCCCCGGTTTAATCCCGAAATAGCTGAAAGGCTTGTTCACTTCTCACACCGACATGTTTTAACCGAATGGACTTTTAATTGAGCCAGGTTCGAGATCGAGAAGGTATATTTGGACAGTGGGATAATTAATTGAACTTCTTTCCGATTTTTAACATTTCTTTTCTTGGTAACGGAACTCGGTAGAAAATTGGGTGGGACTCGACGATAAAAGGGAAAAATAAAAGGAAAAAGTCGTTTATCGAGTGATTATTTTTTCTTTCTTTCTTTCTTTCTTTCTTTCTTTCTCTCTTTTTCCTTTTATTCCTTTCCACCTGTTCCTGTCGAAACATTTATTATTCGATTCGTATCGATTCTTTTTTCTTTTTTTTTTTTTTTTTTTTCTTTTTCGAAACGTACATATACATTTCGAAAAAATTCTCCGTATAGAATTTAATTGAGTAGAGTGAATTTTATGAACAGCTCGATAAAAAAAAATGTTTGAAATATGTCGGCATATCGTTCCCAACTTTTCTCTTTCTCTCGTGGAAATCCGACTTGAGACCCGATACAAAAGTGAAGCCTGTACGATAAATATTCGACGAAACGGGATTTGGCGCGTCGTCCATTTCTGTGTAATTAAAATTTGCAAAGGGTGAAGGGTAAAATCGTAAACAAGATTACGCGATTGTCCAAACATTTGAACAAATGATGTTTATCGTCACTTTTGCACTTTTGGCCGAATTTGCTCTGTGTCCCCACCGCCCACATGTAGGCTTTATACGATAATTCTATTCTATTCACCAATTATGCGGCCAGTTTTCCACGAGTAAAGAGTAAAAAAAAAACTGGATGGAAAATTTACAGGTGCATAATATAAAATCGAAAAAAATTTTTTTTAAGACCTCGATATTTTCGATATTTCGCGTCGCATCCCCCTCGATATATTGAATTCGCGAAATTACGAATATTTTACCATCCTATATAATTCCGTTTTAAAATAATGTTATTCGGGATAAATATTGTTGTTGAAATATTAAAATATTTGATTTACACGAATGTAATGATTGAAAGTGATCGAACGAACGTTGGCGCGTTGATACATTTACATTAGAAGCGGAGACGAGATGATTGAAAAGCGGAAAATACAATGATAAAAAAAATAAACGGGGGAAAAAAAAAAAAGAGCGAGCGCGATCGCGCGCAAATTTACATTATGGAAATTTATAATTTTTTCCCGATAATATTCGCGAATTATCGCGAGAACGATCGTCCTTGCTTTAACTTCGCATAATCGCGCTGATAATAAAAAAAAAAAGAAAATGTCTAATTAAAAAATTCTCCTCTTCTATCCCTCCCTGTATTATACACTTCGTATTTCTGTCATACAAAAATTTACAGAATCTTCGCGTATTCTAACAACTTTCTTCAATTACGATTGAACTAAAAATTGCATCGTTTCTTGCGATATCGCATTCTATTCACCCCTGTCGCGCGGATATATAGATTCCACGAAATTCACAGAAATAAATGTCTTTAAAATATGCACCGACTTTAAACATCTTCTCATTCCTATAACGTATTCACGATTCATAGCGAAGATTTTTATCCCGAATTATCGACATCCTCCAACCTAATAAAGTTAAGGTTGACACGCTTTGTGTCTATCTTTAAATATCGGAAATATTTAATCCAGGGAATCCATTATTAGTATCTTTAAAAATTCTAATTTATCTTTCTCTTTACCAACAGATATTTCATTTTAAAAAAAACTTTGCTCTAAGTTTACTTTTAACAGTCGAGCGACGTAATTTTTTTTTTTTTTAATATTTAAAAATAAACGAAATCCTTCGTATCCCGTTATTCTATTCTATTCACGCGTGTGTATTTATATATATATATATATACATATAATATAATTTAAATATATTTAAAATTCAAATTCCTTTCCCGCTCGCATCATAGGAATTAGAAAATTAAAAAAAAAAAAAGAAAGAAAAAAGATAGAATCGGATCAAAAATTCGAATTGTTATCCATTGTTCGAAAAAAAAAAAATAAATAAATAAAAATCGTAAAGCATTTCACGCTTTTTCGAATTAATTCTAAAGAGTCTTTGAGAGAGATTGTATTTGAGATGAGCACCGGCCCTTAACCATAGATAGTAATTAATCCAGCTGGTAATTATAAAAGGCCATGTGTTTCGTCCGCGTAATAAATGTGTGTTCGATCAAACACTGATCCTGAACAAACAAATTGGTTTTCCGACCTCGCTTCGAGCCCATTCGCATCAAGTAATTTTCAATCGTACGAAACAAATCCGCGCCGCCGCTAAATCGCGAAAATTCATTTCCCAATTCTCTCCTTCCCCCTCTCCGCTCCCTAATTTTCACTTTTCGTCCTTTTTTCCTCGACCACTTTAACCGCATCAATTTTTAATCAAAAATTGTTCAAGAAGAAGAATCGTATAAAATTATCATTCCGATTTTCTCGAGTTAGAATTTTTCATCGAAAATATTCTTTTCCTTTTGGCGGAGAGTTGGGGATCGATAGAATTACGGCAACGATTATCACGTGAAATCCGAAAACAAAATGGAGAGAAGAAAAGTATACTCGCGAGAGTATATCGTCTTTTTTTAAACGTTAAAGAAATAAACGAGACGATTTCGAAAGGAAGCGGCGACACGATGACGACACTTTATCTTTATCTCGCCAATAATTTTTACAAATTCGGTTGAAGCGGTTTTGTCGGCGGAAACGCGACACGTACAAATTGACCTGCTCGATATTTCGACATTATACCGCCACGTGGTTTCGTATTTTATCCGATGTAACCGAACCGAGTATCTCTACGTGACACGGCAATATTTGCGAAATCGCGACTTTACCTGTATGCAAACGTATCTGTCAAACTTTCCAATGTATTGTGCGCGGGGAGGAGCCGGAACGATGGACGTCGTGAACCGTATAAAATTTCAAACGAATCCAAGTTTTACGGTTTATACCAGAGTTTCCCACAGTCGTTCCTCGTCGAGGAAAGGAGATCGTTCACGATCGATAAAATAAAAATCAGCGATACGCGCCGTTCTTCTTATTGCCTCCTCGTCTCTCTTTTCCCTTCTCCTCTTTTTTTTATTTTTTCGCCCGATTCGTACGTGTTACATATACACGCACGCTCGCTTTTCTATTCGTCTTCTCTTACGAGTTTAAAATAATATCGAAGAGAGAGAGAGAGAGAGAGAGAGAGAGAGAGAAGTCTCTCCTTCTTCTCTCTCTCTCTCTCTCTTTTTATCTCGTTAAAATAAAACTGCGATACGAGCGAATATTGAAATGTCGGAATTTTGATTCGTATCTGGTGAACGTTACGAAGTTAAGATTCAATTTTGTAGATAATTGAGAAATACGCGAGACGCATCATCGAGATTGAAACGCGTGTCTCTATCGCGAGAAGGGGAGAAAAATTGGAGTATAATTTTTACATTGGGGAGAGAGAAAGAGAGAGGAGAGAGACACACACGGGAAAACGAATTTATGGAAGGATTTTTTTGCCCCCCTCTTTTATCCCGCCTATTTGCCAAGCAATTTCTGTTCTCGGAACTCAGATTTCCGGATAATGTTTATTTTTGTTTTGAAACGATGGTCGGAGAAAACTATAAACGATATTAATCCATTAAACGTTGATTAGACGCGCAATATACGCGCCCGTGGTAAATAAAGTTACGAGGAAAGAAATGTAAACAAATGTATTTGCGTTGGAATCGTAAATGCGAAATGTTTTCAAAAAATTTCTAAATGAAGGAGGATACGAGAATCGAAAAAGAATCTCGTATTTTCTACTTTTCGCGGAATAATAATCTAAAGTGGGAAAAACTATAGAATAAGAATTACATATTCTTTTTATATATTTTTGAATGGAAAAATTTATACCTATCTTTGGATCCGTTTCGCGATTCAAATTGTTCGAAAGTTTTCACTAAAATTGTCGAAAAGTTGTCCCGTTTTTCCTCTGTTCTCGTTGTTTTTAAAAAAAAGAGCGCTAATGCCGCCGTAAATATAACGCGAAATGTATCGAACTTGCAATTAAAAAGTAACGCGTATACACTATTTAAAAAAAAAAGAAAGCAAAATTGGAAACAAAAATCACCGACAGAAACAAGCGCACGTTTATCACGATCGTTTTCATCTCAACGATACAACGGTTTATTAAGCGACGAGTCACACGATTTCGAGCGCAATTAATCATATTTCGATCAATCCGCGACGCTCGATGATGTACATTCCTATCTTTATAACAAAATCAAAAAATTAAAATCTACCTATCTCAAAAGATCATTTACTTACCCGTTCAAATATTTACCCTTCCGCCGATTTTATCGCGATATATTAACTTGTACTCACCGACTAATTCCGGCCGCACGCCAACTAACAACGTAGTCACTACCAGAAGAGGCACCTGTCGTTTACCCGTGCACATACCACGTTTCTCACACATGATACACTTACGCGGGATATAAACACGCGCGAACGAACGCGCCGCTTGTCGCGTACAGACTGAACTTCCGAGTTCGCGGAACGCTCTGTATATCGTAAGCGCACGAGGATCCCCCACTCCTCGGCCGCCGCTCCAGCCGGAGTCGAGCGAGACGAGGGGCGACGCGCATCCCCACTCCAATCGCTCACTCGCGATTCCTTTTCCGCCCAAGAAACCGCTGTCAATCGGCCCTTTGTTTACACGTCGCTTTTTGCAAATCACGCTTTTTTTTAATTGCTTTACGCCCATTGAACCGAGGTGCGGAAGTACGACCGATTTTTACGCATTTTTTGGAAATTTTAATCTTAATTCAAGCGAAGAAATTTTCGTGTGAATTATTATTATTATTTTTTTTTTCTTGGAGAAAATAATTGTACGAAATAAGCGTAATAACTTTAGAACGAATTTTTAGAAATTTTGTTCAACGTACAATTGTTAATTTGTGTAAATTATTGATTATAGAAATTTGTTTTCTTTTTTTTTTTTTTGATATACGAAATTTATAATATTTTTATATTAATTTGAACGGTAAAAATGTTTGATTATTATTACAACATTTGATGAATCTATTCGTTTCTCTGTTGTACTCGTGTAACAAAGAAGAATCGTTATTATTATTATTATTATTATGGTTTAAATGTAGACAGTAATTAAAATGTTATCGGATTAGTGCGTCATTATTAGTATTTTGATGATACTAACAATACATAATGAGCGCCAAATAATAATATACATATTATTTGGAATGACTATGCGTTATTAAGCAAAAGCTAATTAAAATTTCTATATAACTGTATTCATTTACACGTAATTCTACGCAATAGAACGTATTGTTATTGCACTATAATAAATTACAACAACGAATATGTTGTGTTTCGTAAAACTTATTAACCGTGTAATTTATTTGATATCTGTTTTGAAATTTTAGATTTTCTACAAAACTGAAGTATATAGAAAAAGTGACTGACAAATGTGGAACTTTTTTTTTTTTCAATATAATTTTAACGATTATTTAACTGCAAAAACAATTAAATTTAATACAACTTTGACATAACTAAAGAACTTATTTCAGACTTTCTCACTGAAAGTATAATGCTAATCCAAAAATCGCAATCTCCAATTAGATCTTTTTAAATAATTTTCCAATTACATCATTCTTGTGAATCCAATTGTAGAAGGAAATTGAAATAATTTACACGATTCATGCCTGGTTCGTGATACTTTAAAGAAGTTGAAAATAAAATAAAACGTAAATAATATATAAAATGTTTCGTAAGATTCGTTTCTTAATCGACGAGGTATTATTACACTTTGTATTCCAATCATTATTTTTCCTTTAAAAGAATTACAGTGTATAACAGTGTCTTGTTGTTGAAATTAGAAATTTGAAACGCGATAACGTAACATCAACTATATTAGCAACAATCAACGCACGTAATAATGTGCACTTAAAACTTTACATTACATTTCACCGACACTACTAATATTAACTTAATTAAATCGTATTCGTTAACTAAAATTTTCTTTTAGCCACACAATGATCAATGGTTTGATCGAAAATTAAATTATTTTCATAGATGTTAGAAATTGTGTAATTAATTCGATTGAAATTTCAATCAATTTAAAATTCAAGGTCGATCGAGAAAGTGCGCAAGTTGTTGGCAGATATTGAAAATCTATCGAAAAATTAAATTAAAAGAGCAAATAATGATTTCCAGTTCCTTTCTTTGTTTTGCTGCCCTATTCATTCGGGATTTCATTTGAAATTTAATAAATATCGCATTATATTTGCCCGTAACTTTTCGCGTTACATTTTTGCTATAAAAGTTGCTCGAAACGTGCGGACAGCAGACAAAAGCATAATATTTTATTCGAAAAATTGATCAAACAGTATCGACCGTATTGCAAATAACGCGTCAAATATTACAATTACAATAAAAAAAAAATAACCTTTATGCAACTAATATATATTTTACTACGAAATCGATTGGATTTCATCCAATAATCTTCCTTTTTAATCGATAAGAAAAATTATATATCATTTAAACAAGTGTCAAATGATTGAATAATTTCGAAATTTCTCCTTTTTGAAAATTTTGACAATTTATTTGAATGTTCCCGTTTCCACATAACACCTATAATTTTAAAAGGGGTGAGATGTCAGTTCCAACCAATTTTTCAAGTAGAAATTTCAGATAGATCATGCATGAGGTATCAAAATTTGATATTACACGTAGTAATTAAATAGAAAGTACAAGTTGCTTGACCTCATTACTTAACATTTTATCCCTCTTTGACGGATCCAACATTGATAGAGAGAATCCTGGCAACGAGCCCATTCACCACGCCGCTAACCACGCATACACGCAAACCTCTACTTTCAGATTATTCTCTGATACAACGTGCGATGTACAACGCGCGCGCAGTTGGCATCTCTGCACTTAAAATTAATAAAATTGCACGCCCCCTACACGCGAATAATTTCAATATTTAATATCGCGAATTCATCGATATTTTTCCACCGGAAACAATTAATCCTAATCCTAATCTAACGATTTCAAATTAATTTGGAAGAATAATGGTCTCTAAAATAATTTCGCGTTCGATTTCAATTAAGAAAGAGTAAGACTCGACTCGAGCAATCGAGCGTGCCAATTAAAATCGTATTATTAAAAAGTAGAAATTAAAAATCGATCGTCATTAACCCACTTTGTTACACAATTATTATTCTTCGTGAGATTCTTTTCCTTTTCCCTCCCTCTCTCTCGTGTAAAACAATAATATATACCCAACCACCATTGAAACGGAAACGATATACGTAAAAATTGGGAAGGAGGAAAAAAAAAATAAAGAAGAGGCGACACAAAAGACCCAGTAACCTGAATTTATGCGAGACTTAATTCAAATTAAGGAAACGGCGACCCTCGTCGAAATAATTGTGACGGAAAGTACGAGCTGCTAATCTTCTCCAAGAGACGACGCACATCCCCCTTTGACGTTGCAACACTATGATCAAAGGGAGTTCCATACACACGTGCACGGATTATACCCGACCACGCAGTTTCCGATTCGCCTCGGCGTTTTCTATAACAGGGGAGGGGGAGTAAGTGCGTAGCCTCGTTATATTTACTCGATATTTCGATTATTAAACGAACAACAAGCACAAATGTATCGTAATTTGGAAATCGCAACGAATTATGTTTTGTTTAAAAATTAGAATTTGAGTTATTCGAAAAGGAGGGAAGAAAAAGGAGGGGGGGGGGCGCGATATAGCTTGAAACAATTCAAACAGAAAATTCCAATGGTGCACGAGCGTTCTACATACGGGACGTTAAAAAAAAAAAGAAGAAAAAAAGTATAGCCAGATGCAACGAGGCGATAAATTAAGCGAAATGCATCTGTTTCCAGTGGTGGTGGTGTACATACTCTTTCCCTTGAATATGCACACACATATCAATGAAGAGATTGTTGTCAATTGTCACACGTCGCATGCAATTGTGGTTAACCACGCACGTCCCCCGGTTTGCCGGTGATTAGCTTCGACCAAGTTAGGTGAGAATTTAACTTGGCCGGCAGTGGCGAAGAAGATTTTCACTTGACATGCGACACCCAACTATATTTCTATTCATCGTGGAAAATGGCCGCAGATATAATAAAACGTCAAAATACGAACGAATAAATAATGAAACGTACGCAATTGTTGTACGCAAAGTATCCGCGAAATAAAACAGGCGCGAATTGAGTGAATTTCGTTTCGAGCGAAAATTGAAACCTTTCAAATTTCGTTCGTCCTTTCTTTCTTTTTTTCTTTTTTTTTTTTTTTCTTATTCGCTTATTGATAATCAAATATCGATCTCGACGATATTTCTCGACGAGTCGTCACGCGGTGAAAAAAACACCAAGTGTTCGACTTGACGGAGTGGCCCAGGCGAAGGTTTATCGCGGAAAATTGGAGTGCCGCGAAATAATTGGTCGATTAGGAACGATCGAAATTCTTGATAAAGGAACCGAACGATAGCGCCACGCGATAGAAATCGTTCAAAGGTTATTGCGTGCCACCCTGAACCACTGTATATATATATATATATGTTATGTGAGGGTAAAAGAACTCACGAAACTACAACCGAGCTAATGATTTCAATACCATTGCGGCTCACGTGTTTTATCCCACTTTCCGCTCGGAGGGAAGGAAAGGAGGGGGGAAAGATGGGAAATTAGCGGAGCAAAAATTGCATACCGTGCGTACGTGTTCAACGTGTTAATCATCGATGGATGTATTTTTCAAAAGATCTAGAAATGGAGCAAGCGAAGGAATATATCACGACCCGTACAACTTTCTTCTCGATCTCTCGACGAGAAAATATATTCACGCGTATATCTATTGTTCGAATGGATGGATATACTAAACAGAAGCAAAACTACGATCAAACTTGCCCCTCCTTCCCGTTAGGAACAAGTAGCATTAAGTAGACTTAAGATCGGTCGTACAAGACTAATACACTTTCGTTTAATCTCGAAACTAAGCCGTTCCGTGCACAACAGATATATATATATAACAATCAAGTATTGTTCATCCTCGAACTTTCCAAGTGGTACAAACACGCTGGAAATAAAACACAAATTAACGAAACCTATGCGTTTCACGAAGAAATCCTTCGAGCGTTTAATTTCGAAAATTATTCAAGAAAATGGCTAATGGAGGGAGGACAAGAAAGAATTTAGAAATTAATTTCACAGGAATTATAAATTAACACGGCGATATCTGGTAAATCCGCAAGATTGAATTACGGCGTGTAAAGGCGTCGCGAGATCTGAGAGCGGAGATCAAACTTTTAATGACTCGACGAGGTCCTCGACGCTACCGATGATTTATCACGTTTATGAAGGGGATGTATCGTGAAATTGTTTCCTTTCTACCGCCCTCTTCGACCTTGCTATTGGCCGCCACCTTTAAATGGCCAAAGAAAGGTGTAAAACGAGACATTCGTAATGATTCGTTGATTTCCGGGGGGGGATTATTTTCCATCGAAGAAACGATTCTTTTTTCCACAATTATGTGTAACAAGTCGGTGGAAATACGCACGCAATATCAAAGTTCTACTACCACCACTTCTGTCCATATGTATATATACATTCTTCTCATAGGTCTAACTATCGTGCTACGAGCCGCTATGTCAATCAGTCCTACCTTTCCAGGAGGATATTGGAGTTATTTGGGTTCATGGAATACGAACATTACCCTTGGAACTTATCATGGCAATTGGCAATCATGATTCGTTCAGATCGTTGCGTCTTTATTGCCTCTGATTGCATAACTGGAGTATAACCGGAGAAAAGAGCCAAGGAGAGTATAAAATAATAAGAGCTTTCTTGATTCTGTAGATATATATATATATATATATATATATATATATATATATATATATACTA